GACTGCACCCCCACCTGAAATGGCTCCACTTCTACTCTCTTGCTGCTTCAGCCTAAGTGGTCTATTTGCTTTATTCATTACCACATGGCCTTTCCTACCTATGGCTAGCTGTTCGGCTTCCTCCACCCCAGGCTGGTGCAAACTGTACCCATTCCTCAAACTTACCTTGGACAGACACATTCCCACCCCCAGGCAACAGGAGATGGGGCCTCAGAACTCCTGTACCTCTCAGGACCAGTACCACGATTCTAGCTCAGTCTCTTGTTGCAGTATTTTTAAAATACTTCTTTGTCTCACAGTGCCAATAGCATCTGTCAGTCAGTGGGCATTTACCAGGTGGATATCTGGGGCACACTATGTAACTCTCCATGCTCCCAGGTTTCAGTAGCTACACTCACTTCTAGCATGAAGTTAATAACATGGGAAATGCTTAGATTCTTGCTTCACACATACTGTCTGGTAGCAACAGCTACTCCTTTTGCTAACAGCACCCGACACTGATTTTCTAATGAATCCTCTGGCCCAAGACCTGGGTCAGTACTGTTTTGTTGTGGAGCTAAGGGTGATTGAACCTAGAACTTTACGCATGCCAGGCAGGTGTTCTACCACTGAACTGTATCTCCAGTCCTCTCTTCCCCCCTTTCATTTTATTTACTTTTTTGAGATGAGTTCTCACCTCAGCTTCCCAGGATGACTTTGAACTTGGAGTCCTCCTACATTTGCCTCCTCAGTAACTGGAAGTATAGGCCAGCTTGAGTTGGTGGTATTAGAACCTTTTTAAAAGTTATTTAAGCCGGGTGATGGTGGCATATGCCTTTAAAGGCAGGAGAGACAAATGTATTGCTGTGAGTTTGAGGCCAGTCTGGTTTACAGACTGAGTTCCAGAACAGCCATCTCCCTAGTTTTTTGGGGGGTTTTTTGTTTTTTGTTTTTTTTTTTTTTTTCAACACAGGAGTTCTCTGTGTAGCCCTGGCTGTCCTGGAACTTGCTCTGTAGATCAGGCTGGCCTCAAACTCACAGAGATCTGCCTGCCTCTGCGTTCCAAGTGCTGGGATTAAAAGCATGTGCCATCACTGCCCAGTGGGTTCTTCAGTTCTTAAAGGCTGAAACTGTGGCTCAGTGGTAGAGTGCTTATCTAGCAGTCTATCATATGGGAGGCCTTTTCCCTCCTACAGTCCCCCACCCTGCTCAGTCCTGGCAACAAGTAGAGCACTGTTTGTATTATTAGACTCTTTATAAGCTGAGGAGCCCAAAGTTCAGGGAGACAGAGCTTGGATTTGGACCCAGATCCCCAGTTACCTTCTGAGTCACTTCATATGGCTTCACCACACAGAGCATCTGTGATACATTTAACTCCCTCCTGTCTTGGATAATGGCCACCATGTGCCAAGGCCCTCCTCTGTGTCATTTTCATGCTTAATCCTCACAGCAGTCCCACAGCCATTTAGGGGGTGGTGTCCAATTCCTAGCTTAGTATCTAGTACAGAAAGGGCATAATAACCTGGGTCCAAGCAGGATGTCCTTAAACAGCCTAGACAATACCAAACCAGTGTGTTGTGCATTTTTTTAAGCTACGCTCCACATTTTTGGGGAAATCCTCTCTTGGGGGGGAACCAGCAGAAGCATTATGGGACCAAGCGCCTCAGTCCCCTGAGCCCTGCTCTCCTCCTGCAGAGCCCATCTGCTCTTCCCACCCAGGCCAGCCCATTCCCTCCCCCTCACTCCTGGGGCCTTCATGCAGGTCTAACTACCAGCTTCATTGATCTGCAGCCAAAGGCAGAGACAGACAGGCATGCAAGGGGACATGAGACACTATCCTCACCCTGCTTCTTTGCCCTGCCAACTCTTCCCTCAGGTCCTAAGGAACAAAGCCATGCTGGAACAGAGCTGTCCTTTCATGCCTCTGTACCTTTGCACAAACTGTTCAAGACTGAAACTCTCCCCCCTACAGTCTCCATCTCTGACATGCTCACAAATCTGCAAGACTGCTTGGATGTCACCTCCATTACAAAGCCTCCTTCCTTCCCAGGGAGAAGTGGGTGGCGGGCGGGAATATGACAGGATGAGAGTCTGGGTGCAGCTCTAAGGTCAAGGGAAATCCAGGTCATTTCCTTTGAAAGAGAAAATTGAGAAAATAGAATTACAAACATGGAGCCATTCTTTAAAATGTTTGACAGATTAATGCTTCTGATACCAAAGAAAGGCTACATTTGGACTGCTCATACATAACCATAAGATTTATTAAAATATGGGGCTGGGGAGCTGCTTCAGAAATTAAAAGTGCTTGTCCTTTTAGAGCACTAGAGTTTGGTTTCCAGTACTAGCATTGGATGGTTCACAATGGCCTGTAATTCCAGCTCCAGGGGATCTGAATCCTGGCTTTCTCAGGACACCTACTGGGTACCCCCACACACACACACACATACACACACACACTTTAAAGATATGCAACGAAGACCCTCATTTCCCCAGGGCCAGGCTCTACTGAAGCCTCCACACACAAAAGGTGTTCATCATATGACGAGTGATGGAGACAGACAGGACTTTCCAGTTCACTCAGAAAACCCAAACCCGTATTTCAAATGACACTGAACAATAGGGCAGGAAGCCGCTGCCTCCTCTAGTGACCCCCCTCCTCCCAACCCTCGGAGTTAAGCAGCAAGCTGCTACAGGAAGACCCACAGCCACTGTCTTTCCAGCCCCACTCTCCCAGGTGATGGAACACCCTGCTCAAAGCCTGTCTCCATTCCCAGGCAGATAAAGAAAAAGCACTTGCTCCACTTACTCCTGAGGCGAGCTGACAAGCTGGGCACACAGAGCCATCCTGCCCTCAGGCTCCATCCTTGAGAATAAAAAGAATAGCAAGAGGGACAAAAGAGGGCTTAAAAGCTTGACAGCAATGGGACAAAAAAGGCCTCAGAGTTTCCAAAGCAATCTGCTAGAAGAGACCTGAAAAGGGAGCCACATCCAAGGTGGGGCTGGGCCCTCTTCTCACCTTAAGAGGCCTGTTATTAAGCAGCACAGCTCTGTATCAGTCCTCCTCTTTGTTTCTGGGAGTTCAGTTATTGACCCCTTGTTTTTGACTGCTCAGTTTTCTGAGTGAGGCCTCTCAACTTTCTGGGTTGCTGGCAATCCCATATACTAGGCTTGAATACATACACATACCCTAAACTTGAACCCGCCCACTGGCCCAACTTCCACTTCCTTACGTATTTCCAGCAGAAACAATTGTGTGAGGATAAGGTCACCCCAGAGTTGCCACAATTTCCCAGACCTTCAGGCCATTGAATATAGCCATGGACTTTTCTGAAAGTTTTTCCAGTTACCAAAGGCAGGATCTATCCAAATACTTATGGCCCGATTGTTCATTCTGTCTGACCTTTATGCCTACATTCTTCTGATTCTTGTAAATCCTTCAGGAGTCTAATTTACATGGTGGCTGGATCAATTTTACAGTAGGTAGAATGGAACAATTCTGTGGCATCTAAACATTTTTGCTACCCAGATTTGGGAGTAGAAGAGAAACACAGAAGAGATGTATCATGGCGTGTAGGGGTCCTGCTAGCTCATTTCTAGAACCTAGAGCCATGTAGCCATAAATAACTGGGCACTGGGAACAGGACACTCTAATAAGAGTATGGTTGGACAAATTTTTTCAAGTCTTTCAGTGTGTGGATGTATCTGCAAAACAAAAGAAAGGCCCCTTTTCCCTGTCTAGGCAGAGCAGTCTCCTGTTCAGTCAGAGACAACAGGCTTCTGGGCATCAAGCCAAGGTTCCGGGGATATTTATAACTTGAAGAGGGTGGGAGTCCCTAATAAGCTGCTATATTCTTTTTCCATCACTTCCCTCTCCAAGGCTACAGCAAGCTGGGAGCTCTTCCTTATGCAGAATGCCAGCTTTGCTTAGCCCTTGCCTTCCATTGTCTAATTCCTCCATCCAGCCTGGGGAAAGGGAAGGCTCCAGGTTTGGAGGATTCTTACTGAATGCAGCTTAGGTGCTGTTGGTGTTTCTTGGCCAGCTGTTATGGCCTCAGGGATCTGTTTATGAGCTTGTGGTTTCTCCAGTTATAGAACAGTCTGAGGTCTCTGCAAACTTTGAAGTTTTGGGCTCAATCCTACCACCAAACACTGGCCTTTGTCTGTTTAATCTATGGATTCTGATTTCTACCCGTAGCTCTGAGATCTCCGGAATCTGCTGGTGATATCTAGAATCTTTCCGAACATCAGGGAGGGCTCTTTAGAACTCTGAGGCTTGGGGATCTCAGGCCTCTCGAGGATCTTGAAGCCAGCGATTTACTGGATCTTTCACAGACCAGAGGTAAGCCTATTCGTTCTGTCCTAATCCGGTTTGTGACTCTTTTGAAACAGACATAGATTGCTAACATCCTTAGGGTTCTGGTCGTAGCAAGTGCCCAGGGTCTCCACGGGGCTGGGAGGGTTTCAAGAATCCATTCAACAGAGAGATGGTCAAGAGTGCAAGGTTCTGAGGCCAGTTCTCTCCCTCCACACCCTAGCTCTTTCCCCGCTTCTCATTTCAGTGTTCTGGCGTTTTAGATACGTGCACTTGGGCCCAGGCTCTATAAAAGAGCGTGAGAAGCTCCCTACAGGGTTAACAGGATACCCCGGGCCGGGCTACAGGGTTAACAGGATACCCCGGGCCGGGCTGCGGACTGCACTCCGGCAGCCGGCGTGTAGCACAAAGCCTCCTGGGATAGGTAGTCTGCAGTCGGATCTGCTGGGAGTTGTAGTTCTCGGGACACGGAGACCAACCGCTGCAGGCTGCGCTGGGAGGTGTTGTGAGTACGTGGGCGGGGCCCAAAGTTCCATCGCAGCTTGGGAGTCTCCCGAGGGAGGGAACTGGAGCCTTTTCCCGCTCTTGCCTGGGCTGTCAAATGAGGGCTGATCACAGCTGAGTTCAGCCCAGGCCACCACACTTAGTCTGACATCGCGGGTAATATCTGACTCAAAGACGGCTGTAGGGCCATGAGCAAAAACAGGGGAGTCTCCTTTACTGAGTCGTGCTGTGGTCTCCGAGAAGAAAGTGGAGGATACTCCGTCTGGTCTTGAAGGACATGGTCCTGTCTCCTCCCTTTTGTTCTTTTCCCACCCCTGCTCTTGGCCTCTAAGTGGCCTTTGTACGCCAGAGTGGAACTTCAAGTCCCAGCAGGCCGCTAGGAGCGCGCACGCGTGGTAGAGATGCTCGGCCACGTGGCAGGAGGAGGGCTGATGATTTGGCATCTGATTGGTCCTGTGTTTTATGAATTGTTTTGCTGATTGGCTGAGGTTGCTGCCGGAAAGGCCCCAGCCCGGAGATGCAAGAGCAGAGGCGTTCTGTAGGGCTGGGTTGAAAGCCTCCTCCCTTAAATAGCATCGGCCTGACCCCCCGGCCCAGGGGGGACCTTGCCAGAGGCTGTCCTCTCTTACATTGCATGTGCTTGGTACTAACGAAGACACGGACAGCGGGTCACGTTCGGGGATCAAAGAGGAAAGTGACGGGTCCTGGGCCGTCCCCACATACCCTGCGACCAGAACTCCAGCCCTAGGGAGTGGGCAGGGCCTCTGGCCGCGCCTCACTCCTTGCTTTTTGCCACCTTCAGCGTTGTCTACTAACTGCTTTTCCTGCTCTCTCTCCCAGGAGACGAACGCTTGAGCCTGAGATGGCAGCCACCCTGCTCATGGCTGGGTCTCAGGTAAGCCGGGGGTGGCTTCCCGGACCTCGCCTCTGCGTGCCCATCTCGCCCGGTGTTTCCCCGTTCTGCAAACCCCTGTAGGAAATTCCCTGAGATTAGCTCATTTCGCTATTCTGCTGCAGGGGCTTAGTGCTGGCTGATTTAGCCATATACAAGCACATATCGAACATCTACTGTATGCCTTTAAATGCTAAGGAGAATAAAACCGAACAAGATGGGTGGAACCCTCCTTGCCAACAATCTGTAGGGAGAGAGTTGCATCCGATTATCCTTGGTACAATGTGATAAGTACTGTTTGCTTTAGGAAGAAAGTGTTGTGGTGTGGGAACCAGTAAATCGTGGAGTGATTAACTCTTAGTTGCAGTATTTGAGGAAGGAGTGAAGAGCTAAAGGGAGGGTGGGAACAAACAACACCTGGCACTTTGGCCCATAAAGAGAATTTCACTGGCCTTAGAAAAGAATATTGAATGTAGATTGAATGTAGAGATAGGAGCCATGTAAGTTCTAGGTCTGTTCCAAAGAGGAAGCTGCACGAGAATAAGGGTCCCCAAGTGGGCAGGGATATCTAGTAGATTGCCTCTGCCTTTTGACCACATGTCTTTTTTTTTTCTTCTTCTTATTTCTTCTTTGGACTCTACAGATCAGACTTAATGCCATTGCCTTCTCGACATTTCTTACCATGTCTCTAATTTCAAGACGAAAAGCTGATTGATCCTAAACTCATAGGTACTAAGTAGTGAGGAAGCATTGTGTGATTTCAGGCCCCCGTGACATTTGAAGATATGGCCATGTACCTCACTCGGGAAGAATGGAGACCTCTGGATCCTACACAAAGAGACCTTTACAGGGATGTGATGCAGGAGAATTATGGGAATGTTGTCTCACTGGGTGAGTGAGGATTTTGTCTATTTTCATCTCCTGTCTTGAAACTGACAACTTAGGTCTTTTGATACAGACTTGTTTGTTTTCTGAGGAAAACCACACAATTAGTTATGCAAAGGTTTAAATGTGGATGATATAAGTTACATGGCCGAAAAATTAAAATAGAGTAGTTTCTGAAGTTTTAGAGACGTTTGGGATCCTCATGCATTGAGTCATTTGCCATCCTGCAGCCTGTTGGTACAGATCACTGACCAAACAGGTCTGACACTGTGGTGCCTGCCAGGTCATACATGCCCTGTAAATGGCGCTTTTTCTCTAGGGCGCTAGGAAATGAGGGGTTCTGAAGCAGGTTCACAGAAGGGCAGAAGCCACCCCCTTTGTGTTTGTTTTGGCTCTCCATAGCTGCAGCTTTGCCTCAGGTGCTGAGTTGGGATACATTCTTGTCTAGAGCTGTTTCAGAGGTAATCATCCTTCCAAGTGTGCCATGTTGTGTCAGGGGAATCACTGAATACTCATCACAAATCCTGATTAGAGGAGAACTTGTGCGGCACAGGATGCAGCTCAGTGGGTAGAGTGTTTCGAACACTTGAAGCACTGGGTTTGATCCTCAGAACTACACAAAGCCAAGCACAGGACTAAGATACTTTAAATGTCTTTATTCTCAGAGCAGAAGATGACTTTAGGGGATTTCTTAGCTTAGACTTTTAATTTATTTTTTATTTGTTTTTAGGTGATAGTAAATAATGGGTTTCATTGTGATGTTTTATCATACATATGTGTTGGTATACTTTATTCTGGTTTGTTCCTCTACCCCGCTGCTTCCTTGAGCCTTTCTTTGTTCCTTGAATTATTCTTTAACAACAGCAGCAACAACTCCACTATCAGAAACAAAACGAACAAAAATAAAAACCAAGTGAAGAGATGGCTCAGCTGTTAAGACTGTGCATTGCAGAGGACCTGAGTTCAGTTCCCAGCACCCACATGAGGCAACTCAAAACCACCTGTAATTCCCGTTCCAGGGGATCAGATGCTCTCTTCTGGTCCCTGAAGGACATCTTCTATCACATCCAACTCAGACACAGACACATACTTAAAAATGAAGCAAAAATTAAATAGCCATAACTGTTATTTACCCAGATCTATTGCAGATGCATCTGAAATATATTACTCCACAAAATAATAACAAAAAGAAAAAAAAAAAAAGAAAAGAAAAGGGAGCTTTTATTTGTTTTGTTTTTTTCTAAGACAGGGTTTCTCTGTAGCTTTGGAGTCTGTCCTGGAACTCACTCTGTAGACCAGGCCAGCCTCACTCACAGAGGCCTGCCTGCCTCTGCCTCCCAAGTGCTGGGATTGAAATTGTGTGCCACCACCATGCAGAAAGAAGCATTTTTAAAAAAGACATACTCTTGCATCATAATAGACTATCTAAGAGCACTTCTTAGATAGAATCACCAAGAATCTTGTTGCTTACCTTGATAAATTTAGGGGAGGGTTAACAAATGTTTCCAAGGCACTTTGTTGTTTTGTTTCTCCTTTTAATATGTATGGGCCTTCTGTCTGAATGAATGTCTGTGCATCATGTGCATGCCTGGTGCCTACAGAGGCCAGAAGAGGGCATCAGATCCCCTGGAACTGGAGTTACAGACAGTTGTGTGCTGCCTGATGTGATTGTTGAGAACTGTACTCAGATCCTCTTGCAAAAGCAGCAAGTGCTCTGGACCACTGAGCCATCTGTGGTCCTTCAAGCCCTTCAAGATGGTTTTGTTTGTTTTGTTTTTAATCTCAGGGTCCCTTGGATCCTTTAATGTACATTAAATATTTGGATTTTTTTCTTTTCTTTTTATGATAGGGTTTCTCTGTGTAACAGCCTTGGCTATCCTGGAACTTGATTTTTAGACCAGGCTGACTTGAACTCACAGAGATCCCCCTGCCTCTACTTCCCGGGTGCTGGGATTAAAGGTATATGCTACCAAGCTGGGCTTGGATTTCTTTTATGTTGCTTTCTTCGTGTGTGTGTGTGTGTGTGTGTGTGTGTGTGTGTGTGTGTGTGTGTGTATGTGTGTGTGTGTGTGTGTTGTGTTATATGCATGTGTGTGCATATGGGTATGCAAATGACACCTGTCTGTCTATAAGCCAGAGGTTCACTTCTAGTACTTTCCTCTATCTGTCTCCATCTTATTTTTTGAGACAAGGTCTCACTGAACCTTGAGCTAGCTCTTCAGTGAGACTGCTTGGCTAGCAAACCCCCAGGGCCCACCTGACTCCATTCTCTCAAGTGTTGGGATCAATGGTGTGCTAGCTTTTATGTGTACGTTTGATGTCCTGATCCAGATTCTAATATTTGTATAACAAATACTTTATCCATTGAGCCCATCTTCCCAGCCCTTCTTTGGGTTTTTTATTTGTTTTTTTTTTTTGTTTTGTTTTGTTTTGTTTTTGTGACTAGTTACTAAATTAATTTACTCATAGGCCCTTTTCAATGAACTACTTACAGTTTTCTGGTTGGTGTGTACTAAGAAACCCAGTTTGGAAAATGTAGTGGCTGGTTATATATTTTTATGTTCACACTTGAAATATATGAAATGTTGAAGTATATGCAGTATACTTAGTTCCAGAACTGGTCGGAGCTAGTTCAGATGTCTAGGTTAATGGTAGAAAACATGCTTAGTATGCATGGAATCTCATTTGTTTACCAACACTCCTCTCTGCAAAAGAGAGGCTACTCTGAGCCAAGCATCTCCTTGTTCTCTGACTTTAAATGACATTTGTACGTTTCTTTTCCTGTCAAGAGGCGAAGACATGGGGCTGGAGGTTAAGAGCACCCGCTGTTTTTCCAGAGTTCCTGAGTTCAGTTCCCAGCAACCACATGGTGGCTCACCACCATCTGTAATGAGATCTGGTGCCCTCTTCTGGCGACAGGCATACATGCAGGCAGGACACTGTATGCATAATAAATAAATCTTTAAAAAAAAAAAAAAGGTTAAGATATAGTACAGGAGCTCCTTACATGATGTGTATCAGTGTCTACTGCACTAGGTAGGTAAAGTCAGAAGGATGAGACATTCGGTGTCACCCGACATAGTGAGTTCTAGGCCAGCTAAGAAACCCTGCCACAAACAAATGTTCCTGATAGAGATAGTTAAAAAATAACTTCTTTTCATAGTAATCTGGTAAGTTCTTAGTAAATCTAATATGATAATAAGGCTTGACAAGGTAAACAAAGTGGCACATGCCCCAATTTTTTTCTAGAGTCTTTTAGATATTCTAATTTATGGTCTCTTGTTGTTTTGATTCTGATTGATTCCCTTTTTCAAAATGACAAGAACAGATAGTTTCTTAAATAAGAATTAACCAAAGAGCATGAACTTAGCAGACAGACTGGAGTTGATATTTAGAGTTTTGTCTTTATTGTTTAATTACATGTATATGAGAGTGTGTGTTTGTGCCCACAGAGGCCAGAATGCATTAGATCCCTAGAGCTGGAATTTGTGGTTGTGAGTTGCCTGGTTCGGGTCCTCTATAAGAGCAGTATGCATGCACTCTTAGCCACTGAGCCGTCTCTCCAGCCCCGGCTCTGTCCCATGTCACCTTGTGAGAGCTACCTCACTTCTCTGAGCCTTGGATCTCTCCCTCAGTCTTGGATCTCTTCCTCACAGAGATGGGCTTTCACGATGATAATTGACATATACTCATGTTAAGAATTCAGTGTGTTGCCATTGCTGTTTGGCTCAATCTGCCTTCCCCTGTGGATGATGTACATATTCCACTTTTGCATTCTTACCTGCTGCTGAAGTAAGCTAAAGAGAAAAACAGAGAATTCAGTACTGGAGCTGGGCGTGATTTGGCTGAGTGCTAGGAGCACTTAAATGCCAAGCCCCAAATGCTGGGTTTACCCTCCAGCACCGTGAGTAGAGGAATAAATAGAACCTCTTAGTGTAGTGCCAAGGACACAGTAGACACACTTGCTCATTGACCCATCTCCACATCGTTTACTCTTCCTTACAGACTTTGAGATCAGGAGTGAGAATGAAGCAAACCCGAAACAAGAGCTTAGTGAAGATGTAGAATTTGTGACCATGTCCGAGGAGCCTATTGGGGATGCTGAGAAGAACCCTGGGAGCGAAGAGGCCTTTGAAAGTGGGGACAGGTCCGAAAGACAGTGGGGAGACCTGGCAGCAGAGGAATGGGTCAGCTACCCTCTCCAGCAGGTCACTGACCTGCTTGTCCACAAAGAAGTCCACACAGACATCCCCTATCACATATGTTCTCAGTGTGGAAAGGCCTTCGGTCAGATTTCAGACCTCAATCGACACCAGAAAACCCACGCGGGAGACAGGCCCTATAAGTGTTACGAATGTGGAAAGGGCTTCAGCCGCAGCTCCCACCTTATCCAGCATCAGAGGACACACACTGGCGAGCGGCCCTATGACTGCAACGAGTGCGGGAAGAGTTTCGGACGTAGCTCCCACCTCATTCAGCACCAGACAATCCATACCGGGGAGAAGCCTCACAAATGTAATGAGTGTGGGAAAAGCTTCTGCCGCCTCTCTCACCTCATCCAGCATCAGCGGACCCACAGCGGGGAGAAACCGTACGAGTGCGAGGAGTGTGGGAAAAGCTTCAGCCGGAGCTCCCACCTGGCTCAGCACCAGAGGACTCACACAGGTGAGAAGCCATATGAGTGTAATGAGTGTGGGCGAGGCTTCAGTGAGAGATCCGACCTCATCAAACACTACCGCGTCCACACCGGTGAGAGGCCCTACAAGTGTGATGAATGCGGGAAGAACTTTAGTCAGAACTCTGACCTGGTGCGGCACCGCAGGGCCCACACGGGGGAGAAACCATACCACTGTAACGAATGTGGGGAAAACTTCAGCCGCATCTCACACTTGGTTCAGCACCAGAGGACTCACACCGGCGAGAAGCCGTATGAGTGTACCGCCTGTGGGAAAAGCTTCAGCCGGAGTTCCCATCTCATCACACACCAGAAAATTCACACTGGGGAGAAGCCCTATGAGTGTAATGAGTGTTGGCGAAGCTTTGGGGAGAGGTCAGATCTGATTAAGCACCAGAGAACCCACACGGGAGAAAAGCCCTATGAGTGTGTGCAGTGTGGAAAGGGGTTTACGCAAAGCTCCAACCTCATCACACATCAAAGAGTTCACACGGGAGAGAAGCCTTACGAATGTACCGAATGTGATAAGAGCTTCAGCCGGAGCTCTGCTCTTATTAAACACAAGAGAGTTCATACTGACTAGGTCCTGTGATCCTGAGTAAGAAACGACTCATTTGAAGGTACAGTTGTATCTGATGTCAGTGAGCCTCCTGAAGACCGGCTTTCCTTGTTGTGGGCAACAGTTCAGAATACAGAAGAAGACAACCCTCGTGAAATTCCGACCCACAGCTTTGGGGATGTCATCCCCTCCCCCCCATACTTATTTTTATTCACTGATTATTATATGAGTTGCTTCATCTAAATCAGCCCCCATCCCAAGTAACCTGAAAGCTCAAGACCAGAGGGACAAGATGCTGGCGGATGCTTAGGCCTGGAGATGGAGTAGACCTTTAAAAAGTCCCCCCCCCATCTCTGGTCCAAAAAGACTACAGTGGGAGTATAGAACTGAGACAGGGTGGTCGCAGCCGCATTGGCTGATTTGCCATTGTTCACTGCAGTAGTTGGCTCATGCACTTCCCTTCTAAAGGGCTTTTTCCTTGAGTAGCTCATATTTGTATCTTGCCACCTAGTGGGCACAGGATTCTGCACACTGAAAGCAACCATCTCGTCGTTTCTCCTTGTTTCTCACTTGTGTATAGCTTGCATGTTTTTGAAAGCTACTGGAAGATACAGTGTGAAAGGAAAAGGAAAACGGAGGTGTAGGTTTGAGGACCAAGGGCCCATGGACGGTGATGACCTTAGCAAGAGATACCCATTGATGCTATCATTAATCAGGTTTATGTATGTTCTTCAAAAATCACTTTAGGGATCATAGCTTGGAAACTGCCTTTAGGAAAAGATAGGACAGCAAGTGATGATGGAATGAAAGTAGGAAGTGAATTGAGCCCTTCAGGGAAGGGGGCACAGAACCCTTCCCAGAGAGTGTCAGTCTTTCCTGGGTTCTTTGCCATCTAACGTTTAAGATCACTTGCCCCTGTAACTGCTAACTCTAGGGTTTGATTGGGCCACACCGGAGTCTTTATCTTAGCTTGCATAAAGGCATGTGTACAGTGAAACGTGTATTCTAATAGCAGAAACCGAATTCATAAGAATCAGCATGTTCTTATGTAATGTAGATCATAAGATAGAACTGTAGACATAACTCCGTTGTGAGAAATGTCCTTTAGTTTTCTTTTGTTATCAAAAAAAAAATTTTAACACTAGTGCTCAAGTGTTCACTGTCTCGTAAGGTTTTGTTTTGTTCAGAACCAAACTCTTGTTTGTATGTGTTCCTCAGTTGTGAGATAATGACTGGACAATTAGGTCCATTGTCTTTTCTCAGACTGGATTATCTTCTCCTGTGATGAAAACCTCTTTGGCTTCATCAAAAGAAATGAATAAACCTGAAAAGGAATGTGTTTCTAGCCTCCAGATACAAATAGTTAAAACCAGAGCTGACCCAATGTAGCCTGGTACCTCAACTCTCCTCCTCTCAGCCTGAGTAGGAAATTATGAGGTAGCCCAGATACTGGTGCTCACCCAGTCCCATGGGGATGGAAGGGATCGGTGCCCAGTGTGTTTCTATGGTGCTTAGTGCAAAGTTGCAAACATTAAATTTTTTTTTTTTTTTAAAGAAAACTTTTTTTTTTTTTTTTCGGGGAAGGGGGTAAAAGTGTCACATGCCTTTAATCCCAGCACTCAGGAGGCAGGAGCAGGCAGAGCTCTGTGAGTTCAAGACCAGCCTGGTCTACAGAGGAAGTTCCAGGACAGCCAGGGCTACTCAGAGAGACCCTGTCTTGAAAAACAACAAAAAAGAAGAAACCCCTTTTTGTGTTGAGATTCTCTGGGGTTTGGCATTTCAGGAGTGGTGCTTTCACTACCAGAGTCACTGTGAGCACAGCTGGGTGATACCAGTCACTCACCAGTGACAATCTCAAAAGCAACCCAGTGAAAACCCACTGCGAGGGCCTTGAAGTCATCACTGGCATTGGAGTGTGAACTTGAAGCAGGGCACATGGTGTCTGTCTGTACAGAATCTAGCCTACCATGGGTATTCATATTTTAACTGTTAGGTGACTTATGTATTCTTGATAACTAAACTCAAATATGTTGTCTGTATCGTTGTAGCCAATGACTTGGGTGGATTTCAGCATTCTCCTGTTGCTTCTTTAAGTCACTGTAAGTGACTGCTTGGGGGGTAGCGTGTAGAAGACAGCACCTCTGACCCAACTTCATTTCACCCACTTCCCCTCCCCTGTGCTTCCTCTGCCCCTCCCCCCTACACCCCCCCTCCAGTCTTCCTAGCCAGTGCCCCATTTGATGCTTTTGCCTTCTAGGAGATGAAAGCTTGGGAAAGGTTTCTGAATGCCTTCCCAGCTGGGTGGCCACGCCAGCTCTGCCCACTCTCCTGCGGTCCATTGCTGCCCACTTTCTGTGCTGAACTGTGTGGAAATCGTGCATCCACCACATTTCACTAATGCTATTTGCATGCCTTCTGTTTGCAGGTCCCTGGCTTTTTCTGCACATACCCAGACACTCTGTGCCTGTGTTTATGGTCGTGAAGAGTGGATGAACAAGTAAATGTGTAGAGCAGATTCCCTTGGTATTGATCAATTACCCTAGTGTCTTGTCTATAGCTGTATTATCCTAACAACATTCTATAATTAAAGGTATAATTTTTAAAATCAAAACAACTCAGTTATTTTGGTAATCTCAAACAGGTTGATATCAGAGCCCGGTATGAGGTTTATTAAAGTTGGGCACGATCACCTTTACATTTATGCTTTGTGCATAGATGTTATACTGGATTTTGCATAGGTTGTCCTGCAGGAATTGTGGATACAGTCAGTGTCTTGAACTCTTTGAGTATGCTATATCTCATCTAGTCAGTGTAAAAGCTTGGATAGTTTCTAAGTCCGTGCCAGTGGAAAAGCAATGTGTAAGTATTGGGTATGAGTATCTCACCAGCTTTGCAGGAAAAAAGGAAAACACATCCAAAAGGAAAAGTTAGAGCCTTTGTTTTAAAAAGAGAGTTTCTGGGGGCTGGAGAGATGGCTCAGTGGTTAAGAGTTAAGAGCACTGGCTGCACTTCCAGAGTTTCTGAGTTCAATGCAACCACATGGTGGCTCACCCATCTATAGTGGGATCTGATGCCCTCTTCTGGCATAAAGTTATACATGCAGATACTCACACATTAAAATAAAGAAATCTTTAAAAAAAAAAAAAAAAAAGTTTCTGGAAACACGAGAGCTAGGTATAATGGTGCACACTTTTTATCCCAGCGCTCAGGAGGCAGAGTCAGGTGAATCTCTTGAGTTTGAGGCCAGCAACCTGTCTTCACACAAACACAAGGAAAACAACTAAAATGGCTAGTGAGATGCCTCCGTGGGTAAAGGTGCTTTCACTGGAAGCCCGATGACTGAGTTCAACTCCTGTGACAGAGAAAACTCCTGGAAGTTGTCCCGATTGACTGCCATGTGATTGGCCCGTGCTTCCCTGATCCCAAATAGGTTAATAAACAAACAAACAACAAAACAGCCCAGCAGTGGTGGTGCACACCTTTAATCCCAACACTCAGGAGGATCTCTATGAGTTGGAGGCAAGGGTCTACAGAGTGAGTTCCAGGACAGCTAGGGCTACACAGAGAAACCCTGTCTAAACCGCCCCCAAATATAGCAAAACAATCAGGCCATCTCAGAAACAGAGCTTGTGACTCAAGACAAGAGCAGTGCCTGGAAAGGTGGCTCAGCATTTAAGAGCAGTTCTTGCTTTTGGAAAGGATCAGGTTCAATTCCCAGCCCCCACATGGCTTAAAACTGTCTATAACTCCAGAGGATCCAAGACCCTTTTCTTATCTTTGTAGGCACCAGGCACAGGAATGGTTTACATAGGCACACATGCACACGTGCATACATGCAGGCAAAACTATATATAATTATGTGTGTGTGTACATATATATGTCAAAAATTAATTTTTGAGATGGTTCCAGGCTGCCCTGGAACTCACTCTGTAGACCAGCCTGGCCTCAAACTCAAGAGATCTGCCTGCCTCTGCCTTCCAAGTACTGGGATTAAAGGTGTATACCACCACCGCCCAGCGAAAAGATGTTATTTTCATTTGTGGCAGCAAGATTTCTGGAAGGCACTTGCCATCCAAACCTGGCAACTTGAATTTGATCCCTGGACCCATGTGATGGAAAGTAAGAACAGATTCCCATATGCCCCCATCCCAGTAAATATAAAATTAAGTGGTTTCTTGCTAAGGATAGTAGCACAAGCCTATGGCCCAGCTATTTGGGAGAGGACCTTAGAAAATCACTTGATTTTTTTTTTTTTTTTTTTACTTGTTTTTCCAGAGAGGGTTTCTCTGTGTAGCTTTAGAGCCTGTCTTGGAACTTGCTCCCTATACTGGGCTGGCCTTGAACTCATAGAGGACTGACTGCCTCTGCCTCCAGAGTGCTGGGATGTAAAGGTGTGTGCCACCACCACCCGGCTGAGAATCATCTGAGACCAGGGGTTTGGAACTAGGCTGGACAGCATTGATAGCTCAGTGGTTAAAAGCACCTGCTGCTTTCCTAGAGCACCTACCTACCTGGGTTCAATTCCTTGCACCCCTATGGCAATTCAGAACTATTTAGAACTCCAGCCCTAGGGATTGGATGCTCTCATGTGGCTTGTCTAGGTACTGGTTTTGTGATGGACAAACATACATGAAGCAAAACACTCATCATACACATAATCATAATTGAAGAAGGTGTGGGGGTTGCTGGAAATGTTATCAGTAGTAGAGTAGGGACCTAGCACAGGGGAGGCCCCGAGTTCAGTCCTCAGTTCTAGAACAAGTGGAACCCTCTACCAGTTCTGTATCTTCAGTGTCTGGAAAGGAAGTTAAAGGAATATATTAATAACCCTGAAGTGTAACTTAGGAGCCTCCTGTGTAGCATATTAGTATTTCCAGCAAAGCAAACAGCAAAGCAAATATGCTCCAGTGTGAGCTGTCTTCTCCAAGATTAGGGTTGCAAAGGGAGCACAGAGCTGTCTCCAGGCTGTTAGAATGGCAGGGAGAACACTGTAATGATGATTTGCTAACTGGTTCCCTGGTGTGTTAGAAGTTGATGTTGCTAGCCAGAGTTCCCATGCCCTGGGGAAAACGGGCCCTAGGAAGCTTTTATTAAAGCTCTTGGGGCCTTCTAGAGCACCTGACATGCACATACCTATACACACACACACACACACACACACACACACAACACAACACAATTTTAAATGATATTTAAAATAAATGTAAAAAAAAATCTCTTGGACTAGATATACACAACTTTAATGCCAGCATTTGGGAGGTAGGGATGGGCAGATGAGGCTTTGAAATAAGGAAAACCATATAGCAGGCCTGATGACACACACCTGCAACCCCAGCTGACACCAGAGATGAAGACAGGATTGTGATACAGCCAGACCCTGCCACACTAGGGGAAGGAAGGAAAGAGAAGATAGAGGACTTTGGAAAATACCAACAGGAAAAATCAGGGCAAGAAAAGGTAGGCAGTTTCATTGTAATTGTTTTGTTTTCCAAGTTGGCATCATTGTTAACATTTCTGAAAGTAGTTTTACTCTGTTTCCCATTGGCTGAAGTTGAGGTTGGCGGCATCACAACTCTCGCTTTGAGATCCACCACAGCCCCTGTAACTGCCTCTCACTCAGCGGCTCTATACAGAATTTCTGGTACCTTGAAATCAAACTCCACACCCCAGTAGACACTTCTCCCATGGATCCCCAGGCTTCTTTTGCACTTCCCAAGATATGCCAGCTGGAAACCAGTATATTATCCTTGCCACCTGCACCTTGAAGCTCCCTCTACCCACCCAATCAGCGACAAACATCAATGTGATAGCTGTTCAGTCATCTCCTAAATATTTCACAAGTCTAGTCTCTGTCTCTGCCCCTCTGTCGCTCTAATTTTTCAAGTTAGGACTTTTCTGTGTAACATTCCTAGCTCTCCTGGAAAACTTGTTTTGTAGACCAGGCTGGCCTCAAACTCACATAGATCTGCCTGCCTCTGCCTCCTGAATGCTGGGAATAAAGTCATACATCACATGCCTCACTACCAATCCTTTGTCTACTGCTACCAATAACGAAATAACCATGTAAATAACCACCGAACGAGTTCCCTTGATTTCAGTCCCTTCTCCTTTGCTACGCAGCTCTAATGATCTTTCTGAAAGGCAAATCTCTGTGTCACACTTTGGGATAAACCTTCCCAGGGTCCTAAATTTGATCTTCAAACTGAAGGGAGAGAAGTAGTGGGGCTGGAGAGAGGGCTCAGTAGTTAAGAGTGCTTACCGAGCCAAGTGGTGGTTGCAGTAAAAGTGGCACACTACTTTAATCCCAACGCTCAGGAGGCAGAGGCAGGTGTTATCTCTGTGAGTTCAAGTTCAGCCTGTTCTATAGGGCGAGTTCCAGGACAGGGTCCAAAACTACAGAGAAACCCTGTCTCGGAAAACCAAAATAAATAAAAATAAAGCCTTTGCATTTAGGGTGGAAGAGATGGGCCCAGCAGTTGTGTGCTGGCTGCACACTAACAGAATTTAAACAAACAAACAAAAACCCCTTTCTTCCCCTTGGCCAGCCACAGTGAAGCCCCTCCACAGAGCCTGAAGAGGAGGTCATCTTGGATCTGGCTCCCGATCCCCAGCGCTTGAATAACCACAGCTGCAGCTGTCCCCTCTCTCTCTGGCTGGCTTTAGCCCTTTTCCAGTTCCTGGCCTGACTTCTTCCAGCTCTGGCTGGCTGCACTTCATAGGTGCTGCTGTCCCTGGTAGTCATCCCATGGTTCTGCATGTCTAGAATGCTGGGGTCTCTGCTGCAACTGGGCTGCACGTTCGCTAATAGCCTCTCTTTGGTTCTCTTCATGGTGCCAAGCCTCAACTTCTCTTTAGGACCTCTTTAGTCCCGGGGCTTCAACTGCTACTGATGCTGCACCTTCTCCAATGCCATTCTTGGCCTCTCACAGTGCCAAACCTCAGGTATTTCCATGAACCCTTCACTTCATGCCTTCAAAACCAGTATCATTTGGGTGACTCTCGCACATTGGCAAGGTTTTGACTGACATTACAAGGTACAACCTTGGCTGTGTCTGGAACATAGACTCTCTGTGCTCTCAGGAAACACTTCCCAGAAGATTTCACCTCAATGATTCAATGATGATAATGTCTTTGTCATCTTTTTTTTTCTCTCTCTCCTAATCAGGGTTTCTTTGTTTTATGGCTCTGGCTGTTCTAGAACTCGATTTGTAGATCAGACTGGCTTCGAACTCACAGAGATCCGCCTGCCTCTGCCTCCCAAATGCTGGGATTGAAGGGGTGTGCCCCCAACACCCAGCAGCCCCCTACTTCTATATCATAATTTTAAACTTCCCAGGACCTCAAAATTCCATGTCCAGTTAAACAGTCCACTTCAGTCTTGTCTCCATGTCCATTCTCCCGATCAGTCTGCCTGTGTGTACCCTGACAGATTGTGGGGAGATGGATGGAGCTTGGAGTTGCACAAAGATATCCCTGGAAGAGCAGTCCAGTGGTAATGGGAGAAGAAGGAGCATGGCCTCCATTTAGGCCTGTGGTTCTCAACTTGTGGGTCGAGAGCATTTGGGGGGGTGTTTCAACAGCCCTTTCACAGGGGTCACCTAAGACCATCAGAAA